TTGAATACGACTCTCAGCTTCGTTGTGATGGCCTCCTCTCTCAGTACCCCGTGATGTGGTACATAGTAAGCTGGCAAGGGTTCTGGAGTCTCTGGTGCTATTCTCATGTGCCCCAGTGCTGCGTACTCGTTGATGAACTCTCTGTACAACTGGGAGTATGCTTGATCTGTGTTGAGTCGACTCACGATCGATTTGAATTGACGTGCTGCTTTGAATTTCGATTCTCCGAGCGCTGCTGCTGAAGTTTTGAGGGGCAGTCTCACGATGTATCGCCCGGTGTTGTCTCTGCTATGAGTTGCTCTAAAGTGCATCTCGCACTCGTACTCATCTGGTGAAAGCTCTGATGTTGATGATCTCTCGTTTGGCAGTTCTTCCTGGACCCAAAATTTCTGGAGAAGCTCTAGAAGTTGTTCATTCGAAGATTCTCGTACAGCTGATAGAGATACCTTTATTGAACAATTTGTGCATTCGATTGGTCCGGATAATATCCAACCGAATACTGTGCTTTGGCCAACTACTCTCGATTGCTCCGACTTGACAATGTCATCCATGATGATCCGCCCATAGTTGTCAGCCCCTAGTATGATGTCGATTGGTCCAGGCCTTAGATAATGGGGATCGGCTAGCTGAAGATTCTGAAGTGAGCCGATCCTCGCTGATGAGCATGAAAATGACGGAATTATTNGCCCTTCATCTTCTGCTAGTTGTTGAAGAACACGTAACGACAACCATGGAGAACAATTCAGTCCATAGGTGACTGTCGTTAAGTGGTAGGTGACTGATTGTTGATTCTCGTCGATCCACAGGATTCTCTGAAGATCCCAGTCATCTTGGTGAACTCGTATTTGGCGGAACATCTTGACAATATCCGTGCCAAACACGAGCCTGTGCCTCCTCATCCAAGTCAGGATAACCATTGCATCGTTCTGTAATTTTTCACCAGAATACAGTATATCGTTAATTGACATACCTGATGAACTGGGGCTGGAGCCATTGAATACGACTCTCAGCTTCGTTGTGATGGCCTCCTCTCTCAGTACCCCGTGATGTGGTAGATAGTAAGCTGGCACGGGTTCTGGAGTCTCTGGTGCTATTCTCATGTGCCCCAGTGCTGCGTACTCGTTGATGAACTCTCTGTACAACTGGGAGTATGCTTGATCTGTGTTGAGTCGACTCACGATCGATTTGAGTTGACGTGCTGCTTTGAATTTCGATTCTCCGAGCGCTGCTGCTGAAGTTTTGAGGGGCAGTCTCACGATGTATCGCCCGGTGTTGTCTCTGCTATGAGTTGCTCTAAAGTGCATCTCGCACTCGTACTCATCTGGTGAAAGCTCTGATGTTGATGATCTCTCGTTTGGCAGTTCTTCCTGGACCCACAATTTCTGGAGAAGCTCTAGAAATTGTTCATTCGAAGATTCTCGTACAGCTGATAGAGATACCTTTATTGAACAATTTGTGCATTCGATTGGTCCGGATAATATCCAACCGAATACTGTGCGTTGGCCAACTACTCTCGATTGCTCTGACTTGACAACGTCATCCATGATGATCCGCCCATAGTTGTCAGCCCCTAGTATGATGTCGATTGGTCCAGGCCTTAGATAATGGGGATCGGCTAGCTGAAGATTCTGAAGTGAGCCGATCCTCGCTGATGAGCATGAAAATGACGGAATTATTGTGGTGAGCTTCTTTAGAATGTGGGCGTTGAGTTGCAGTTGATGAGTCCCACTGTTCGATTGTAGAGTGACTGAAACTATTCCTCTGGTGTATCCTGAATTAATTCCACTAATTCCCACTAGCTCCACTGTTGATGCTCTTCTCTGTAAATGCAGTTGATTAACTAATTGTTCGGAGATAAACGATACCTCTGAACCCTGGTCGATGAGTGCTCTGGCTTTTATCGTGAATCCTCTCGGTGATATTACTTTCACTCGTGCTGTTGCCAACAGCACTGACTGTTGATCTGCTTCTTCTTGGTGAGTTTCGTGGTTGATGTTCTCTGCTTTCTCATTGATCATTTTGTTGTTGAAGTTCACTGCTACTGGTGGTGATGTACTGGATTCTAATGTTGAGGAATGATAAATGAGATAGTGAGTGTGCTATTGCGATTGAATTCATTCACTCACTATTCTCGTGATCCTCTTGCTGCCTGGATGTTCCAGCAGTCTGGACGGGTTCAGCGTGAGTACGTCGGGCTGGAAGCGGGCTCATCGTCCATGAACTAACTCCCTCCATGGATGAGAGTGTGGTGAAATCTGCTACATTTGTGGCACTTCTTGTCCGACGTGCACTTGGCCTTCGTGTGTGGCCCCAAGCAGTTGAAGCACAGCCCCTTGTTGATAACGACGTCGTTTCTCTTCGCTGGGGTGAGCTCGATGAACTTCTGGCAGGATGCGATAAAATGCTTGTCCTGACAGTAGGCACAGCAGTTTCTTGGAAGTTGTCTTTCTGGCTCCTTAATTTCCTGCTGGTGAGTTGCTGCTGTATAGGTGCTCCTTTTCTTTGTTGGAGCTGACTTCTTCGTGGCTGCGTTGATTTCCTTTGATGATAGCAGCTTATCACCTGCGTTGATCCCTCTGACGCAGGCCTCGATGAACGCCACGAACTCCTTAAGGCTCGGGAAATCCTTTGAGTCTCCCAGCTTTAGTTCCCACTGCTTGAGTGTCTCTGCATCAAGAGATCTCCTCAGTAAATGGGCTACCAGCTCTTCAGTGATGTTGTCTGTCTTTAACCCCGTCACATCTTGTAATTGATCGAGGGTCTCCAATGCTGCTGCTCCGTTGGCGCTGAGGTTCTCTTCTGTTGCTTGGGTGATTTTCGACAGCGTCAGGATTCTGTTGAACAGCGACTGAGCGACGAGTCTAGGGTCCTCGTACTTCCTGGTGAGTTTCTGCCAAGCCTGTTCGTAGTTTTCGTCCTTGGCCTGAAAAGTAGAGAGGAGAGCTGCTGCTGGACCTTTCAGGCATGCCTTAAGTCTCACGAATTTCTGTACTGGTGGAATTGACGTGACATTTCCCACCAGTGACAAGAAAAGGTCACTGAACTCCTTCCATTCCTCCGGTTTCCCATCGAATGGCTTGATGTCAAGACGCTTCAGCTGATTTGCCTGGCTTTGATCTGTTGAGCTGCTAATTGAATCCTTTTTCCTTGCCAGTTGACCCTTCAGCCGAGCAATGAGCATCAGGGCTTGTCGTCTTGTCCTGGTGGCTCGTTCATGGATCATTTCGTTCACATACTTGTGATCAGGGGGAAGAAACTCGGCTAGATTGGCATAAATCTGAAAATACTCGCTCCATTCTGCCTCGATTATCCCCTTGTGCCCGTCTAATTCTTCTAGGGTGAGGTCCTCTTCGGTTTCAGCGTCCTGCGGGAGGTCATGATATTTCTCCATCAGAGTCTCTATTTTGAACGTTAGTAGTCTTAATTGACCTTCCTGTTGCATGGTGAGTGCTGTTCTTGAAGCTGCAGGCGTTGATTTTCATTGAGCGGGCTCCTTTGATCCTGACGCTCCACTTGGGCTATTGGTTTCCTCAGGAGTGGTGATTGGCTTCGTTGTAACAGTCTCATATTTTGTTGGCAGTTCCTCTTCTTGTGAGACTTGCTCGCTTTCCTCACTTTCGCTCACTGGGTGTTGAGTTTCTTCTTTGGGTTCGTTGACCTTAGTGTCGTCTGCCATGGTGATTGTCTGTGGTAAATTAACGGTTTAGGTGAGTTATCGGCTGCTGAGTTGGGTGAGTTACCGACCGCCGAGTTGGGTGAGTTACCGACCGCCGAGTTAGGTGAGTTACCGACCGCCGAGTTAGGTGGGTCGCCTGTTGCATGGCGCACGTGGCCAAGCGTTGGTGGGCTTCGGCGTCACTCGTCACTCCCGAACCTTCCCGAATTCCGACACTGACACTCTCACTTTGTCCTTTGTTACCCCCATGCTCTTGCGGGTGTAAACAAGGCGAATGTTCTGGAAGTTGCCGTTGACTTGCCCGTGCGAACCCCGAATGTTTTTTCGACACGAGGCGTCCCTTAATTTTTCACAGCACTTTACACACGTTTTCACCCACAATCCGGCTCGAAGGACCACTGTTTGGTGAGGAACTAGGTTTAGGGTGGATGTGGGATGAAAATCTGGAGGGAGATGTTGGGAAAATTATGGTAGGCGTTTTATAAAAAATCTCAATATATTTCGTGGGATTGAACCACTTCTCACTATTGCCTTACACTTTTTGGTATAATTAATGTAGAATGTCTAGTGTTCACTGATAATTGTCTTTTCACTTTATCTCGTTGAGTCACTGAAATTATACTGAACTTAATCAACAAGTTGATGTACTGAACAAAGGTATTAAATTTAGAATACTGATTGACTGAATACTTTAGATCATTATCGTAACGATACTTCTACACCACTGACTACTGACTCTTCCGGGTGCCGCGCTGACCTGTGTCCGTTGACCCGAAAGTTCACGGAGATTTTCGGAGATGGCCGAGTTAGTCGACCGTGACCATTATGGAGATTTAGGCTGTATTTCGAACAGACTTTTTCCGTTGGGAATTTCGTCCCCTACAAAAAAGGTCTACTGACATTTTCTCCTAACATTGCCCATTATCGAGATAAACGGACAATGCATAAAACGCTTTCCTGTATTAACGTAATGCTAATACAGGAACTGGAGAATTACCAACTGGGGCCGGAGCACGGGATTTCAACTTTATCGTTATATTTCTAGCAATCATTCGATTACTGGAGAAGAAGAGTGAAAATTATATCTTTCCAAAATCTCCTCTACTGGTTCCTTCAAGAACAACAAGTTCCTCGCAATCACAGAGTCAACCTCCTCCTCAAGCATCCGGATCAGGAAACAAGAGAAGCCCTCAAACATCCTTGGCCACTGGTCAATCCAAGGTAAACAATAGTAACTAAAAATATGTCCCGTGATCAATCCAATTTTTCCATGTTTGCGAAAGAATTATATGGAATTAATGTTGCTATTTGACGCATCATCTCGAAAATGATGTGTCCTAGGGGATAAATTTCTGGAATTTTTACTCTTGAATGATTGATTATCAAGATTCTTCAACATTTAACTGAATCAATTAACTAGAATAAGTGCCCTTTGCTTCGAATTCAGTATATCTTCGTAAAAGAAAAAACCTTTTTAGCCAAATAAATCATCCAACTGGAAGATCTATCAATTTAACTTGTTACTCCATACATGATACCCAATGATTCGCTATTCATTTTCATCTCAATAATTTCTTTACATTCAATTGACTTCAAATTATATACCCGGAATGTGGAATCGTTAGAATAAAAGAATGAAAGCATTGATGGCATGAGTTTTAGTATTAGAAGTCTCGGATAAGGTAACTGGGAATTAAGTTTTCTCTCACTCTTGTGGGTTTGCCTATCTATGTCTCTTTTTTTAAATCACAGTTGCCCTTACTGAGACTTCTAGTGCTGACCCTGAGGGTTTCTTCTAAAAATTTGTGGAGCTACAAGTAGATGTTCAAAATGAACAAACACTCTCTTTACTTTGCGAGATGGTGAAGAGAATTGGTTTACTCGAATTCCGAATACGAATCTCGATCTGAAAGTTCCATCTTTCGTTGTAGCGTTGGTATTATTTACTTTTCCATACTATGATTTTCACTCGTCATCATCAGAAAGCGAAGGAAACTCCCGAGATGATTCACGAGACGTCATCAAGTTCGGAGGAATCTAATGACACTGCTGAGGTGTCGATTGAAAAGCATCAACGGACACCCCTCAGCATTCTAAACAATGGGAATCAACAGAATGTCACCAGACCAACGAAGAACGCACGCCAACAAAGGGATGAAGGTATTTACTTCATCATTTTTATTATATAAATAATTTTCTTTAATTTCATGAGAGACTCAATTGTGACTCAGCAATTGGCGGAATGAGGAGAACCAGGAAGATACAAATGGTCCCCCAAACGATGCTGAAGGAAACAGAGGAACGGTCCAGCATCGTAATGGTATTTTCATTCCTGAATCTGATTTTATTAATAATTTTTGTGAATCTCATGGAAGAATTCTGTTAATATCATCAGACAAAAGCCCTGTGGGGATGAATCAAGTGAGGGACAATGGACAGGATCACGCGAGGAGAATAAGACCAGTGGAATCTCCAAATCGTGATGGTATCTCCATTAATCCCAAAAATTTTCTCAATAACTCATATTAGTTCAATGATACATTGATTGTCATCCATCCACCAGTTCCCAGACTTGATGGCATCATGGCGCAGGATTTAAACCGCCTGAGGGATTTGCTCGAACAAAATATAAGGAATCAACAGGGACAGCTACCTCCAGCTGAGGATCCAAAATTGGTAATGAAAGAAAATACAAGAAGTATAATCATTAATAGGAATTCTCCAATCACAAATATCCAAATTATCGATCCTCATGTAATCATTGCACTAGACAGAACGAACATCCCATGTTGCACAATTAGTTTCTCCATTACAGTCGTATAAATCATCGATTGAATTAATCGTAGGTGCAACTTGGAGCAAGGGGAAGTGGCGTGACATTGTCGAAAGCACAATGGGATGCGGCAAAAGAGCAGAGGACTTTTACTGCAATGGCAACGACCCTTTTGACGTCTCTCTTTCCTCATGAAGTTCTGCTCAACAATAATGTAAAGGGCGGGTAAGAGCAAAATTACGAAACCTGGAGAAAATGTCCCGAGACATCGTGCTTTAGATCCTCGTATCCTGGAAGCAATCACAGGTGAATGATTGTTCATCATAGTAGCTTCTAATAATGTATCCAGTGAATGCTCCATCGTTCAATTTCTCTAGTAATCTTCCGTTCAAAATATGCAAAGTTCAATTGTGACAATTAATATATATACAGGGTGTTTCAGAAGTACATGTACATCTGAACACCCTAGGAGCAGGAGGTGATTCTGAGCCGAAAAGTCCTCTTGCATTTTTTGATCAGACTCACCCCTAAAAAGTTATTGGCAATTAAGGGTGGGCCAATGGGGAGTGATTTTTAAGCGGGCGCACATCCATGTCATTTGCAGCATGTGTGTTCCCGCTCCACCATTCTACGAGACAAAAGAGCGCAACGATATTGCTCTCTCTCTCTCTCTCTCTCTCTCTCTCTCTGTTCGCTGGAATGACGAAGAGGGGAGAATGAATGGAGAACGTAATTCCCCCTCCACACGCAATGGAAGGACGATCAACCGATCGTCTTTCCATTAGTTACAGCGTCGAGTGGTGCGGACAGCACCTTTTGGGGACGGAAGGGTGAATTTTCGAAAGTGCGAAGAGATTGGAAAAAAATTTTTTTTTTCAATTTAAAAATTAATTCCTCCGACCCTAACTGCGACTAAGGGACGAAATTTATGCCAACGTGTTGAGCGTTTAATACTCAATGAGTGACGCAAATTTCATCCCTTAGCGCCTAATAGGGAGGGAGGAGTGAATTTTTGAAAGCGCGAAGAAATTGAAAAAGAAAATTTTTTTTCAATTCAAAAATTCATTCCTCCGACTCTAATTGCGACTATGGGATGAAATTTATGCCAACGTATTGAGCATTTAATACTCAATGAGTGACACAAATTTCATCCCTTAGCGCCTAATAGGGAGGGAGGAGTGAATTTTTGAAAGCGCGAAGAAATTGAAAAAGAAAATGTTTTTTCAATTCAAAAATTCATTCCTCCGACTCTAATTGCGACTATGGGATGAAATTTATGCCAACGTATTGAGCATTTAATACTCAATGAGTGACACAAATTTTATCCCTTAGCACCAGAGGGAGGGAGGAGTGAATTTTTTCATGTGCGAAGAGATGGAAAAAAAATTTTTTTTTTCAATTCAAAAATTCCTTCCTCCCACCCTAACTGCTACTAACGGATGAAATTTATGCCAACGTGTTGAGCATTTAATACTTAATAAGTGACACAAATTTTGTTCCTTAGGGCCAGTTAGGGAGGGAGGAGTGAATTTTTTAAAGTGCGAAGAGATGGAAAAAAAATTTTTTTGCATTTCACAAATTCATTCCTCCCACCCTAATTGCGACTAAGGGATGAAATTTGTGCCAACGTGTTGAGCATTTAATACACAATGAGTGACATAAATTTCATCCCTTAGCGCCTGTTAGGGAGGGAGGAGTAAATTTTTGAAAGAGCGAAGAGATTGAAAGAAAAATTTTCTTTCAAATGAATTCTCCAAAGTGCGGAGATTGAAAAAAATTTTTTTTTTCAATTCAAAAATTCATTCCTTCGACCCTAACTGCGACTAAGGGATGAAATTTGTGCCCACGTGTTGAGCATTTAATATTCAATGAGTGACACAAGTAGTATGGGAACTACTATGGCGCCCCCCACCTAAAGTCGATATGGCCCCACCACCACACCTGTCAGAGTAGCACGGCTCCGACGTGTGTGAGCGGTGGGGTACAGCGTGGC